ATGATTTATAATTGTAATAAATTTAGCTTGAAATTCAATGCCAAGTCGATTTTCATGATAACATTATCAGCCTTTGTGGTATAACTTCAAACAAGGTAAATATTCATAATAAATATTATATATCGAACTTTATATTTTACTTTTAACTCATATATATTATACATTTTATATTGTTTTTTAATAAAATAAAATAAAATTTAGAAAATCAAAATTGTGCATCGTGATTTGGTAATCTTATATTTTATTATATAAAAAAAAATAATATATAAAACAAAAGTAAATTTTAAAAAACTTAAAATAACTAGGTTTTCAAAACTATTTAACTTTTATTTACCTTCATAACCTAGAGTATTTGAGTCTTATGTATGTAGAAGTTTCTTTTAGCTTATAAAACGATTCCTAACTTATTAGTGATTCCAATACGATTCCCTAGCGATTACTACAATTATTGGCGAAATTCATGTTGCAATTTGCAATTCCTAAGTAAGTTTTCTTCTAAAAGCTTTGTTTTAGCTTACACTTATTCTTTTTTTTTATAAAATATATTTCACTCAATTTTCGTGTTATCAACTATATCATGATAATTTCTCGTCCTAGGTGAAAGGCTAGTGTAATATTATGGTTGTTATCAATACTACCGATCAAGCCAAAAGGATTTCGCATCACTAGAATGAGATGTAGTCTTTTCCTGTATCACTACCGACCTAAATTTATGGAAGGATGGAAGGATACTATTTATCATCGACGATAATAAATACAAGCTGAAAAAATTCTTGACATGCGTTCAAAGTAACACATAAGGCTGCCGGGCAAACCCCAGAAGTTTCGACAGGCATCGAAATCAAAACCCGTCGAAACCTTTGAAACCGTCGAAACCGATTAACACAGCAATGTATGGTTTAACAATGTTTATCTCTCGAGCAAGATATTTGCATTCGTTCTCATGTTTGATTCTTTTATTCGATTATGAATGACAATAAATGTCGGGTAAATAAAAAGCAATGAAAATTTTTATTCAAGATTCGCTATATTAGATAAATTGAAAAATAAATTACAAATATAAAAAGATAAAATTTACTAATATAATTTAATTTAGATTAAATAAATCAATTTCATATCCCATATTATATAAATGATATTTTGCAAAACTATGTCCATTTTTAGCAGATTTTTGATACCAATAAAGGGCCCTTTCTAAATTTCTTTCTACTCCTTTACCATTTTCATATGACAACGCAAGATTATATTGTGCGTATTTATTATTATTTATAGCAGCTATTTGATACCAATAAAAGACCTTATCTAAATTCTTATATATTTCCGTTCCATGCAATAATGCAAGGTTATTTTGTGCATCTATATTGTTATTTTCGGCCGCTTTTAGATACCAACAATGGGCCGTTCTAAATTTTTTTCTGTACCTTCGCCATAATGATATAATTTTGCAAGATTATTTTGCGCATCTGCATTATTATTTTTGCTGCCTTTTGATACCAATAAAAGGCTTTTTCTATATTTTTTTCTGTTCCTTCACCATAATAGTACAATTTTGCAATGTTATTTTGTGCACTTGCATTATTATTTTTTGCTGCTTTATGAAACCAATAAAAGGCCTTTTCGTAATTCTTTTCTATTTCTTCACCATTAATATAGGATAGAGCCAAATTATACATTGCAAACATATTTCCATTTTTAGCAGCTCTTTGATACCAATAAAATGCCATTTCTAAATTTTTTTCTGTCCCTTCACCATTTTTATATAAGAATGCAAGTTTATTTTGTGCAATTTTATTATTATGATTAGCTGCTTTTTGTAAATAATAAAATGCTTTCTTTAATTCTGCTTTGTCCCGATTCCAAAGTAATTATTCATACCAATTATTCTTAATCCTTCAAAGTACATTATTCTATATAATTTATTCTTTTGGGTTCTATTTATTTCATTATTTAAACTATAATACTTTCCTAAAATATCCTCTGCAATGATATTTCCATTTTTTCGCTGCTTGATTATACCAGTACAAAGCTTGTTTTTTATCTATTACTGTTCCAATTCCATTAAAAAAACAATTACCAAGCTGATATTTTGCATCAGAAATTTCTTTTTCTGCCAATATATTAAAATATTTGAACGCCTTGTTATTATTTTTTTCAACACCTTTTCCTAATCTAAAACAATCTTCCAAATGAAGTTTTGCAGTGATATTTCCATTACTAGCTGCTTTGTAATACCAATAAGCTGCTTTCTTTTCATTTTGTTGGGTTCCGATGCCATATTCATAACAATATCCTAAATAGAATTGTCCTATAATACTTCCATTTTCTAAAGACTTCTGATACCAATAAAATGACAATTTTTTATCGCACTCAACTCCATATCCATTACAGTAACATTTAGCAAGATAAATTTGTGAAATTGAATAGTTTTCTTGCGCTGCTTTTAGAAATAATTCATGTGCTTTAATATTATCTTCATATATACCAATATCATAATAATAAAATAATCCAAGAAGCCATACATATTGTATACTTTGCTGCTTTTTTAGCCAATTTAAAAGATTTTCTATTTGTTTTAATCGCGATATTTTTTGTTCAATAAGATGTTTAATTTGATCAAAGGTGATACCTTCATTGTGTTTCTTAATTACAGATTTAACTAACCTATCAACAGTTATGTGATTGATAAATATTGAATCTACTGAGTCTTCTGATAAATTATTAATCTGAAAAATTGAACTTAGATGATTTTTAAAGTTCGTCATATTTGACCGAATAGAATTTTTACTTTGCAAACTTTGTTTGCTTACGTTAGCATTATAATAAAAATCTATATCCTCGATTTTTTTCAAATCCGCTACACTCTTTTTACTTGATTTACGATTAGATTTATTTTTAAAATCCGTTATATTTGATAAATTTGACTGAAAAGATTTTTTACTTAAACTTGAATAGCTTTCATTAATATTACTACAAAAATTAATATCTTCAGATAATTCCAAATACTCTAAATCTTCATCTATTTCTTTAGTTGATTTAAGACTAGATTTACCCTTTATCGACAAATCAATTTCTTCTTCATTTCGCTGTGTTCAAGAGAAATAATTGCTTTAAGAGATGAAACGATTTCTCGTATATTTGGACGTTCATCGGGTTCGTATTTCCAACATTCTAATTGAATAAATAAAATTAGAATTCAGTTAAAAATTAAATTATTATTTATATTATCTACCTTGATATAGATTACTATATTCAGGTGGTGTTCCATCAATAATAGTTTCTTTTTTGCCATTCAATATAGACAGAGTCAAGCATTCATCATAAATAACATCTTTAAACGGTTGGCATCCACTTGAAATTTGCCACATCAAAACTCCAATACTATATACATCTGATTTTTGGTTTAATTTGTAATCCTTATTTATATTATCTAAACCATTTGGATCTATATAAGGTAATATACCAACTACTTTTGATATATTTCTTGTTTCTTCAGCAATTTTTTTTGATAATCCAAAATCTGACAATTTAATAATTTTCTGATGTATAAGTATATTCTCTGCATGCTATTTTTTAATGAGCAAAATATTAAATTAATACATTTCGATAAAAATAAATAAATAATAGAATTTAACAAAAGTTGACAGTCTAATAATTTAAAAATTTAAAAAAAAAGTTGATAGTCACCAGGTCGCAATGAACAATTTCACAGTCGTGTATACATACTACAGCGCTTGCCAATTGTAAAGATAGCTGATATTTGTTATTCCAATCAAGTTCATTAAAATGTTTATTTAAATAAGCATTTAATGTACCTAAAGAATTCTTATTTATTCGATGAATTGCGTTTGCTATCCATAAAAAATATATATAAATAAATTAAAAAAAAAACCGATATTTAATAGATTCGTCAAAAAGTTTAATAATGTCCATAATATTTACCAGTTCCTTCCCTTGTGATACCACAAAATCGCAGAATATTTGGATGGAAATCAACTCGTTTATGTAATTTAATCTATAAAAAATTTTAAAATAATATTTTGTTAATAACGTCAGTAAAAAAGGGGAAATCTGAAAATTTGCTAATTTGACTGTGAACGGTCAAGTGGACGAATAAAAATAATTTAGATTTCCCCTTTCACGTAAGATGATTTGAATAGCTTAGCCTCGAAGACTGAAATCCCGACAATTATAAAATTTATTATACTTGAAAAAAGTTATTATTGACTGCCACCAAAATATTTAAACGATTTTAATTGTCAAAAAGTTCGATAAAAACTAACTTTTTATTAATTGTCTATACCTCATTTACAATTTCCTTAAGAGTTATTGTATTGTGGTTAAAAGATTTCAAAGCGAAAAAACGATCCGGAATTTCCAACTAGCACGTACAACGTTTCCAAATGAGCCATTTCCTATTGACTGTAAATTGATGAAATCTGAGTACTCATAAAGAATGAGACTTTCCTCAGCAATTGATTGTTCTAACCAATCGATATAAAAATTTGATTTTTCAAGGTTATATGGCATTTTTTGTTTTCCTTTTTGTCCTCATAAATTTAATTCCGACACTTTTAATATATTTTTACGCCCGTCTTTAATGTAGCTTATAAGATTTCAAACAATGTAGGATTTCCATAAATAAAAATTCCGTCTTGGTACAAATAAATAATGAAAGCACACAAACATATTAATATTTGTATCATCACTGCGTCAGTTTGTTTGGTAAAGTCGATCAAAATTTATTTCTTCGCAAATTTTTTTTTTAGAAAAATTTTAATATAAAGTATATTCAATAGAAATAAACTGAGAAACTTTATTAGTGCACATACGTTTTTTTTTTGATCTCAATTTCATCCCTTACATCAAATTCATCGAAAAAAAAATGTAAATCGTTAGATATGTTACTTCCATCATTTGCGTAGTCGAATAACTTTGTTTACATGCCAACATGCTTACAGGCGGTAAACCTTTTATAAATACTTCATTATGGGCGAATCAAGTTATTGATTTTTTTATTTTCCATTTAATAATTGGTACTTATTGTGAAACAAACATTTTGGAGGTTTGCTATTAAATCGAGTGATTTAAATAGCCAACCTCCCATTTTTTGTCGTCATTTTATTATGAATTTTTTTAAACATATAATGTATTTTTTTTTATTAGCCGGAACTTTATAACTTTTCATAAATTAGATAAAAATCGATAATCGATTAAGGTAAATTTATTTATTTATTTTTTTATGAAATAACTATTAGAAATAAGATAAAACTATAAAGGTTTACGTTAGAGGTTGGAAACGGTTAAAGATTTTAGGCCAGTTCCAACCTCTTGTTTACTCAGGTTAAAATTGTTTTTAAAAAAAAAGAATCAAAATTTAAGAATAATCCATCGTTATTGTTGTTGATATTGTTAACTTAAATAACATTTTATTTTATTTTATTTTTTTTTTATTTTTGTATAAATAAATTAATAGCTATTCCAATATTATGCTGTTTAAAAAAAAAAAAAAATGAATATACTTTCAAGGAAGGAGACCTGCATCATATTTTTATTTCCTTTCTACATCAAATTTGTCCAATCACTATCACGAGATACTCACATCCCATTTTTTCTAAATTCCGGAATTAGAAAATAACAAAAACTTCCGATCCACACTTATCGTTCCATAGTTCATAAATACCAGTTTGAAAATTTCTTTATATCCTTAATTGAATTAACTAGGGAGATTTGAAGTGTCATCAAACATCGCCTGTAACAGCTTTAAATATGATGTCTTTTACTAGATTTGAAAAAGATATCGGAGGAAAAACAAAAAAAAAATAACCTCCATATCTTGTGTGATCCAACCCAATAAGTGAATCTTTGCAGAAACATTCAGTATCGTGGCTTTAATACGGCCTTTTATTTTTAATTATAGGAAATTATATCTCGTTACTTTACATAGGCCATATAGATCATCAATATCTGATCTTGAAAATGTTTAAGTTTCTTGTTTTCCTTGCGCATCTCTTGTTAGTTTTTCTTTGAATCTAATGATGTATGCATAGAATTTTGCATTTGATTCGCCATCATTAATATGTTTAGTACTAGCCATTGACAAACGTGTAACGAAAGGGATCAACCACATACCGACTCAAAGTTTTGAGCGGGCGGACATCGGGTCATCATATTGGCTAAAACATTTAATATTTTAAGCGAAATTAAAAAGTACATTTAAATTCAAAAAGCGAAAAAACCATACTGTAGTACACACATACATATATATTTTTTTCTCCCACAACGAAACCAACGAACCAAAATTTTAGAAGTAATTAAGAAAATAATTTTTAACACTAACGAATTATTATTATTATTATTATAATTATTAATAAATAGAACACTGATTATCTAACCATCAATATGATTTTTTTATTATTATTATCACATGATTCGAATATAATATCACGTGAGACGGAAACCATGATTCACGCTCCGGACAATTACAACAATTTCTAGGGTTAGAGTTAGGGTTGGATTATTTATCAATAAATTGTATTATTTATTTTCTTTGTTAAAGATGTGCTAAAACTTCAAAAAATTAAATTTACAACATCTATTTCACGTCGCGTTAGCGAACCCCTGTTATTAATAAAAATTTTATACGTAAATCGTAACGATGTGATTGGTTGGCTTTTAAGGAGTGAGCATTTTCCATATTGCGTAATGTGCTGACAACGAATGCGCATTTGACAAAGGAGAAAACATATAAGCAGGAACATGAGCAGAAACCCTTTAGGGTGACTGCGAATGTGGATGCTTATATATTCTCGACCCATATACTACGAAATCCTAGTAAAAAAGAGAAGATACAAAGAAAAGAAATATAAAAAATCAAGTAAAACAAGAAATGCCAATAAGTCAATAAAGTGTTAATACCATTGTTTACATTGAATTCGACCCGAAAAAAAAAACATAATTTTCGCCTTGAAGATCAATTTCGACCATATTGTTAGATGTCAAGAATATATTTCCTTGCGAGATTTAATTAATTAACGTTTAGTGATTAGCATTAATTTGAGTTAATAAAATTGAATTGCGAAAGTGTAGAGTGTCAATGTTGAGGCAACACCGATTAATTAATTTTATTAAATAGCACTTACATCATAATTATTTAATTGCTTATTAATAAAAGCCCTTCTGCTTACACTTAAAATTGTAAACGATAGAATTGAATACAAAAATATTAATAAAATTATATTTTGAAGTTACGAGATAAAATTTTTACATATAAATCCTTTTTTTTGGTTAAAATTTAATAAGTGACCCGGCCGACCGAAAATGCCAATGCGCGTGGCCATATTATAAAATTTCATTGAAAATATAAAGAAAAAACAAGTCGCGAGACAATAGATCACAGCGATCAAATTTTAATATACTAATTAACAATAATAAGCTGGGCATTTGAAAGTAATGAAAGAATATATATGCGAAAATATTTTTATTTTTTTTATCGCCGTTTTCGAATTCGTGTGATCAGGTGATTTGTCGATCAATTAAAAAAAAAAATCGTAAAACACCGAAAACATTGAAAACAACAAAAAAAAATTAAAACACTTGAAAAAACAAAAATAGATGTTACATTAAAAATAATAAATTATATAATAAAATTAAACAATTTTTCGTTCTCGTTATTGAAAAAATAAAAAATCCTTCCAAAAAATAAATAATTTCTCTAGTAATTTAAAACATCAAATATTTCTAAATATATTTATAAGAACATATTGGATCCATGAAAAAAATTAACAATTATTGCATATTTCTAAAAAATCAAAAATTTCATGTTAGAATGAAATATTATAAAAATGATAAAGACTCATCCAAAAAACCATTTATATATAAAAAAAAATTAAGTATAAGCATAAGCTAAAATGAAGCTTTTAGAAGAAAACTTACTTAGGAATCGCGACGGGAATCTCGCCAATAATTGTAATAATCGCTAGGGAATCGTTTTGGAATCGCTAGGAAGCTAGGAATCGTTTTATAAGCTAAAAGAAACTTCTACATATTAAACCTCACTAATACACAAGGCTCAAATACTCTATGTTATGAAGGTTAATAAAAGTTAAAAAGTTTTGAAAAAACAGTAAGTTTTTTTTTAAAGTTTACTTTAGTATAAATCAGAAAATCCGTTTTTGAGATCGCAGGAATTGATAGATATTTTTTCGCAAGTTGAGACAAAGTTTAAAGCTGCTTTATTTATATCCCACATTTTAAAGGATCCTCTGTAATATCAATTTGCTGAAGTTTTATATAATGTAAAACTTCATCCTCCTCCTCATTATTAATTAAATTTTCATTATTTTCTAAAACTTTAAAAAAATCGTTGTCATCATCATTATTTTTACTGCTCGTTGCCCATTGAGTATTAGCAGGTTGTTGAGGTTTAAGAACCTTTTTGAATCATATAATTGTTGCAATAATTTGTGTGACTTATTTTTTTCTTCACCACTAGCATCTCAATGAAAATTTTTAAACCGAGGATCAAGTATCGTTGCAATTAAAACTAATTCTGTTGGAATAGACCACAATTCATCTAATGATAAAAAAATAGCTGCTCAGACTTTCTGAAGAAGACTATTAATATTAATAGCTGGTAAATATTCTACATGATTAATATCATCAATATCTACATTATTAGCTAACTGAGAGTTAGTTTTAGGATTTTTTTGAGTTCTTCTATTATTATGGCTATATTCATATTCTTTTCCTTTAGCTCTTTGCATATTTTTTCAAAATTGATGATGTGTATATTGCCAATGCTGTCGTAAACCACTAGAAGGAATTTCATCATCACCACTTTCTATTGAACTATCAGATTCATCTTTATTATTATTAATTGATCCATAATAAAGTTAAGATATGTATTATAATTTTCTTCAGGTGTAGGTGCAAATGATTTTTTTAATAATTCTATATAAGGGTGAACAAGACTTAAAGTAATATATTTAGCTTTACAAATTCAACATGTTACTCTTTCAAATGGTAATAAAAGTTTTACCATATCTTCCAAAAACCTTAATAAAAATTAATTACATTAATTTTTTAATAAAAATATAAATAAAAACCTAAATAAATAATATTTACTGTTTTTCATCAATTGATAAACATAATCATTCTAATTTTTCTCCTTCTTGTTGTGATAATTGATCTGATTTTGCTAATAAAGAAGTAGCAACATATTGTATAGAATTATGTAATTCTAATATTCTTTTCCAAGCATAATATATTGAATTCCATCTAGTTTTAACATCAGTTAAAACATTAAGTGAATTTTCATTATTATTAATTTCTGATAATTGTCTAATAATTTTTTGAGCTTCTTGAAGTCACTTAGCTTGTTTAGGTAATCAAAAAAATGCTTGTAAACATTTTACTCGACGATGTACTAACTTGCATTATTTTAAACTTTCTAAAACTAAAAGTTATAATGTATGAGTGGCACAAGTTTGTCATTCAATTTGTAATACATATTGTTCTTTTAATAATCG